TCACCGAAACTTATATAGTTAAATAGTAAATATAACTCCGAAATTAGTTTCAGAGTTTCGGAAGAGTTAATATATTTGGAGAAAATTTCGGTTTTCAGAAATAATTTCGGTTTCGAATTACGGAGTTTCGGATTTCGGAGATTTTTAAAATGATTATCGGCTGGCAACATTATCCAATATGAATAATGAACTAATTGATTATTAAACATTCAAGATAAACAATAAACTAATTGATCATTAAACATCCAAGATAAACAACAAACCAATTGATCATCGTCAAACATTCAAGATGATCAATGAACCAATCGATCATCGTCAAACATCTAAGATGATCATGTTAATATTGATTATACAAGTCATTTATTATCCAAGCCAATTAACAAAGGTCATAAACGAGGTCACAGATAATTTGGTCTTGATCTTAGGTCATTGCCTAAACAATTTAGTACTAGACGACCCTTTAAAGATTATTATAATCTGGATACTGAAAAGGATAACTATACGAAATTATATTCAGCCAATAGTAATGATCAAATTCGTTCTCATAGGATTTTCAATCAAGTACGACATAGTAAACGTCATTATGATAATGATGATCAAGATGATAATATTTCTCATCAGGTATCACATATAAATCAAAGTTATCACCTCTCATTCAGTTCTACCCTACAACAATATTGACATCGCCAACTGAATCTTCATCTGTATCTAATAAAGAGGTAAATTTATTTATAATATGTTATATGATTAAAATTATCTAACCGTTTGATTTTAGGTTACTAGTGAACATGTTTCTGATATGTGTGAAGAGATGAAAATCATGTTTATATGAAGTCAAAATCCTGGTTCAGCTGCAGTTGCAGCTGTTGCAAAGATTCTATTACCCGATCAGGAAAAAAATAATAAAAATATTAAATTTTTAAATTTTTAAAAGGATGCGGATTGGAATATTTAGCACAACACCGTTCATGATTCAATAATGATCTTAACTTTTACGCGAAAGAATATGTAAAAATTAATAAGTTATTTTTATAAAATATTATTGTAAGAACGTAATTATCACTTAATACTCATCTTTAAATAGCATTTCAAGTACTAATGAGATACTAAGTAAAGATGATATAGCATCATTTGTAAACGATGCTTTTTAAAGATATTTTCTTCACTCAATTAGCCATTATCGAAGAAGATGAATTGTTCAATAATATAACCATCATTAATACTTTAAAGACACTTTTAAAGAAGGCATTTATGTTACATCTGACACTTAAAGTTTCGCATTTAATCAACCATAATGTGAATAATTATTATACATTACAACAAGTAAAGGAATTAGATCATTTAACTAGTAATCTGACTATTACAAATTTAACCCAAAAGAATGCTGCCAATCAAATTAATATATCAGCATCGGCTTTACCAAGATGTCGTATACGTAAATCATACAGATAAAGATGATGAGCATATTTTTTATTTATGATATATTTAGCAATATACAAATGCAAATTTTTATATGTAACACAATTATTAAATGGATATCATAATACATTAACAGAATGCTTATATAATGCATTAAAATAACATTTATTCAAAAAATGTTTATGTAATGAATAATAATTACCTTTTTTAATAAATAACATATTCGAATTTGCTAAATAGCTTATTGTTATCAATATTAACATATAATATATAATGTTAAAACAATTATTTATCTGATTTGATATATAAAAATAATCATGTAATACTTAAGATTTATTATTCTGTAATCATATACACTATTAATATTATAATCAAAATTTGTCAAAAACCTTATTAATAACTATTCCAACATATACACTAAACTACATTAAATTACCGGATTATTTTATATATATTAAAATTATATATAAATTACAATTTTAGTTATCAATTAAATATAATTTTTGTGTAATAAATAACC